ATAGTTAAAATGGTAAAATTTATGTTATGTATATTTTATCATAGTTTTTAAAAATGCAGTTAATACCTGAGATTTCAGCTCTGACAACGGAGAATAAGTTGTACCAGTCTGGCCATTACCAAAAACAAGTACTATAAAATTTAAAATAATAGGAAGCCACTGGTTTCAGGCATTGTAAATATGGCATTTCAGGGCAGTGATACTTGAGAGAAGAGAGATGCACACCTTTAGATCCTCAATTTCCTGGCTCTTTGCTTTGCAGATATTTTTCTAATTTGCACAAAGAGTTGGAGCTCAAGTTGGGTAGTGGACTTGCTGAACTAAAGAAGAAACTGGAATTCATGGGACAAAGTATTTAAGACAAAGAAGCTCGTGTGTGTGTGTGTGTGTGTGTGTGTGTGTTATGAGGGAGAAAGGAGTGGCAGAGGTCTGTTTTGAATTCAAAATGGGTCCTTGGCCAAGAGTTGGGTTGAAGGTATACAAGCCAAGACCCCATGATGCCTATAAGACGTCTGTTGTGGGGCTGAGAGCTAAATTATGATACCAGGTGTCATGCACTGATGTAAGATGTAAGTGCTTTTGGTGGGGGCAAGCATTACTAGGAAAGGAGCTGAGGGTTTATGGATATACATTTATATTTATAAAAACCTATGTTTTATTGAAGAACTAGTAATTTCTTAGAAATGTTTAAATCTTGAAAGTTATTTGTTTCACATGAGAGCTGTGGGTATGGACTTGCTTTGTCTCAGTACCTTGTCTGGTTTTCCTAACAAGGTGATTGAAGGTTCTTTGGCCAACTGCTCTGAATGCCAGCTCAGACACATTTTACCTTCTTACTTTCTCTTCTTCCTGAACTTGTATTATTGCAGCAAAATTGTTTAGTGGTTTAGCAACAGCATATGTATTAATGTGTGAGCGACACTGCTGTGTTTTTCAATACTTCAATTGTTGCTTATATTTGTCCTAATGACATTGTTTAGTTCCTTTTGGTTAAAAAGTAAAAAATATGTCGGAGAAAACAAGATGACAAAATATTTTGAGATTCAAATCTGTATTTTGGCAAGAAATCTTTAATGTTTTCATGTAGAAAACTGTCATTTATTTGAGTTCTCTTTAATGTCAGGAGCAAAGCTTTATGCTGTGTTCTCATAGATTGCACTAAGTTTCTGATGGCTTTATTCATTTTCTTCTCCCAGTGTGTAGAATTCAATTAAGAAAAAAAAAATCTGTCATTGAAATAAGAAATAATCGATGCTATAAAATATTTACCAAAAGTATGCTCGTTATATGTAATTTAATCAAAAGAAGTTCCTACAATATTACAATCATATGGCCCCTAATTTGGTAACAAGACAAGATGCTCACACTGGGTTTCATTAGGATCATCTCTAGGATGTGAGTGATTTGCATAGTAACTATTTCCTTATGTTGGGTTTTGCATATTTTCATGTTACTTATGTAATTTTAAAACGGTTATTTGCTTTTTTCCCCTTAGATAAGCCCTGCTGCTTATAGATACTATTCTTTTGTATGTCAAAGATAAACCAAAATGGACACAAATTAAAGCGGGAAGAACAGATTTTAATTGATAATATACAATTGCAACAGTTCCAGCATGAACTGAACTCAACTTTAATTTGTACAGAGGTGACTGGGAGTTTAAAAGGGAGAATGAAGAAATAGGGGTGAGCTAGGGCTCAGTAGAGCAGGGTAAGTGAAAATTAAAAAAAACAGCAAGAGGGGATCGGTCCATGTGAAATCCATCTGGGTTCACTAACTGGTACTTATTGAAATTAAGCTCCTACCCTCTCACAGAGACTGGGAGACAGGGGCCCTAACTTTAGCTGTTGGCTGTGGCCTACAAAGGCTTTGGCTGCCTTGATTTTTTTCAGGCAGGCACTTTAAAGGGGCTTAACATCATCTTAGGGATGAGACCTTGAACTATTAGTGTGTTTTGTTCAAATCTTTACAGGCCAAAGTTGATAGGCCTAGTTGAGAATCAGGCTTAGAGGAGCCTAGCTAGAGTTTGGTGGAGAGAAAATCTTTTTCACTTAGTATCTACTGTGCTCCATTTTAAGTTATTTTATTCTTATTTCACAGCCTTATTCCTTATATCTCTATGAACCTTCAACTCTCATGGCAGCTTTGAATTAAAAGGTACATTGATGAAGGTAGTACCCACATTTGTCTACCCCGTTTTTTTCACTTTGCAAAGTTTTCAAGCATTTAGAAAACGATACAATCTGCGTTTATCTTCACCTATTTCCCCTATGTAAAATACTTATAATTTTGCCATATTTGCTTTGCCTAATTGATTTTCCTGAAAATTTATGAAATAAATTTACGGAGATATAATTTCGATCTTATTTTACTATGCATGCTTTTATAAAACCAGCACTTTTCCTCTGCCATTTCAATATTATTTTTACACCTACTAGTAACCCAGTGCATATTCAAGATTCCCCAATTGTCCCCAATATCTTTGACAGCAGTTGTTTATTCAATCTTGGTTTGATCAAGGACCATGCATTGTATTGGCGGTAAACTTCAAGTTTAACTCCTAACGTTTGGGGATTCTGAGACAATACGGGAAGAAGATAAACGTCAAGGACAGCATCTTCCAACCATCTAAGTAAGTGGAAACATTGCCAAATCGCGAAAAGGAGTAGAAGTTTCATGGGAAATGTAGTCTTGGATGGAACTGGCCCACCGCGCAGTACCCTGGGAACGGGTCTTCTGGGCTCTACCTGCGCATGTACAGCTCTAGTCAGTCCCGCCTCCCTGCTTCCGCACCTCTTTCGTCACCTGGAGAGCACCATACAGACGTCCTCTTCTGCGCCATCGCCGAGGATTCGCACCTCAAGTTAGAGCCCTGGGTGATGGGAAATCTGGGCGGCCTGGGGAGCATCGTGAAACGGGGTGGAGCTTGTGGCTGGAGAGGAGGAAACGGGAAACCCCGGGAATCCGTCAGGCGGGATCCTGAATGCTTCAGCCCGCCCGGACCTTTGGGGTGGTACCCCGGCCCTTCGGACTTCCGGGGCATCGGTGGGGCTCAGCCCGGTCAGTAGCAGGTACTCGATGCTGGCCGGCCCCACCTGCACCCGTACCGGAGAAAAGCCTGTGCGGGTGGCAGAAGGGGAACGCGCGTTTAGAATGGTGACTGAGAGCTGCCAGAAAGCGCGGGCAGGTGAGTCTGCAGTGAGAGCCCGAGCTCTGTAGCCAGAAAGACTGGGTAAAATCCAGCTCTGCCACCTGTAGGTGGGGGCGACAGAAGGAACCGCGGTAAGTGTCCAGTTTCTCATCTGAAACTAATGGCGTTCTGAGATGTTATCGGTTGTAAAGCAAATAGCCAACTGAGTAAATAACAACTGCAATTATATTCAAAAGACACTTAGTTCTATTCACTGGGTGGCTTAAATAAACCTCATAACCACTTTATGAGGTCGGCATAACCATCTACTTAAAAATAAAAAAAAAAGCAACCGATGCTCAGGTTGGAGCAATGTGCTCTATTCACAAGCTAGCAGTGAAGGAACTACAAATTAAGGGCAGTTGTGCTTTAAATCTCAGGATTCATTTAAATACCACACTTACCTAAACCCAGCATTACATCCTTCACAGCACTTAACAGAATGATCTGTCCCTGAATTTCCAGGGATGAAATTGGAAGTGAATGAATGGACTCTCACTACTGTCAAATGTATTCTGGAATTTCTGCTGTCTCATCAGAATCCTTGGGTCAGACAGATGTTCCTAGCTCTTTCTGCACTGCCAAGTTGTCTGCATTTGAAGTCTGAAATTATAGTGAATTCCAAGAGTGTCAGATTTGTGGCCCTAAAGTGAATTTGTTTCCCAGACCCACGTCCCACATTTTGAGAAACATTTACTTTGGAACAAAGCATCTCCTGCGTTGTAAGAATTAAGGATACCTCTCCAACAGAGATTTTTCCTGGGGGAGAATACCTCTCTGTTCTTATCCTCCTCACTAGAGCTTCAGGGCAGAGGCAAAAATAAATAAATAAATAAACACAGGAAGGAGCAGGGCCTAAATTTGCACTTCAGAAGTTCTTGATTCCTCTGCCCAAATTTAGAGGTATTGCTACATCCAGTAGCCACCACACTGTGGTGTGACAGTGGAGTATTTGGGCCAGCTCTGAGAAGAGGAAGGTGAGCTAGGGCAGCCCAAGGGTATGTTGTCTAGGACAGTCCACTTTCTGGGGGAGCTTGTGAGGGTGAGGTTTGGAGTCCAGCCAGAGGGTGGAAATTCTGTCTGCATTATTGCTAAATGGACCCTGGTTTCTTCTTCACTCTTTACAGACACTGCTGGCTCTCACATGTGCCAATGTGACATTATTGACTTATTCTGACTTCACGAAATCCCAAAAGGATGGCTCACGAGGAGTTTCCATGGTGATCTACTTCCGACTCTTGAAAGCTTTCAAGCAATTGGACCCGAGTGGTTCGATGACTTGTCAAGGGACAGCCAGTTTGTGACAGAGTCCGGAGGAAAACATGTGCAGTTCAGTTTCTCACAGGTAAGTCACCAAAAATATGTTATGGAAAGGATCTTTTGAGAAACTGTAACCCAGTTAAAACTAATGAAAAATTCTTGCCTTAAAGCATTTCATATTCCTTTTACTGCGCTTTCTGTGGATTTTCTCCTTGGAGAAGTAAGTAGTGTTAATAGGAAAATAGTTAAGTGATACAGCCTGAGTATTTTGCTATGCTCATTTTAATGCAAGAGTAATGTCTTATCCTTCCTGTACTTTACTGTAACTAATTCTCTCTTGTGTTAGTTGTTTGGTAGTCATTCAGAAAAATAACTACATTATCGTTTAACCATAGAAAAGTTTACATTTAGTCTATGAAAAGACATAGGTTTTAGTCCACATGACCACTTCTGAGTCTTATGTGGATAGGTGGTGCTGCCTCCGCATGGTCCTTCCTAGGCCTCCCAGGTGAACCTTACCAGTCCTCTACATTCTCCCAAGAGCAGCAAAATGAACACATCTCAGGTGAGCTCTTTATTTCCTTCATTGCATTGTAATGGATTTATGTTTATAAGGGTCTATATATTAAATGCAAAAGGAGAAATAGAAATGAAGCCAGTCTTGAGGGAAGATAAATAATTTCAACATTAGCTCTGATGTTTGCTATTGGCTCTTGTTAGGAAACCTTTGAAAAGTATATTCCCTCTAATTACCAGTTTGGTTAGATTTCAGTTTAGTCATGAATGTGCTTTGAATTATATTGAATGCTTTTGCTGTATCTGTTGAAATAAAGACATAGCTTATTTCCTTTAATGTTATGAGTGGCATGATGAATTTTCTAATATTAATTTATTATCCATTTCTTGTGTTCACCCTACTTACTGATGAGTTGCTTTGTATACATGTTGGCTGGGATCTTCCTGCTTGTACTTATAACTAAGTAGTTGTGTCACAAGTTAGGTGAGGAAATTATAGAATTTCCTTTTCCCATATTCCTAATTTTGATGTTATGGTTTTATTAGGCTTATAAAAGAATGGGACATTTTCATGCTTTTTTTTTTTTACCCTTTGTGTGATGTTTTTTTCCCTGCATTTTATATGTTATACGAGAAAAATTTTTTATTATGTACAGGGGGGGGTGGCTTTTGTGTGACAGTTTTGAGTATCAAATCAGTTTGTTAAATGATCATAGGTCTCTCATGTTTTTGTCTCACCATGTGTTTTTGAAAGAGCGGAAGTGTTTAGTTGATCAAGTTTTCAAAATTTTTAGTCTTTATTTTTAGTTGTGCATTTTTGATCATATGTAAAAAATCTTTTCCTAAACTGAGAAGTTACAAAGATTTCCCTCATGTTTTTGTAAGTTTTATAATTATAGATCTATGATCATTTTAAGTTAACTTTTATTTATGAGGCATTGTATAGATCAGGATTATTTATTTTTGCTTCTGTATGTTTGATAGTTCCAACAACATTTGTTGAAAAGAATATACCTTCTCCATTGAATTAATTGGTGCCTTTGTTGAGAATCATTTAAACTTATATTATTTGTGGTTCTGTTTCTGGAGTCAGTATTCTCTTCTGTTGATCTGTGTCAGTCCTTTTGCTAATACTATACTGACTTGATTACTGTTGCTTTAAAATAAGTCTTGAAGTCAGTATTGTGAATCTCCCAACCCTGTTCTTTTTCCTTAATTGTATTGGATAGTCTAAGTCTTTTATATCTTCATGTAACTTTTAGAATCCACATATCTATCTTCAAAATGTGCTTTGATTTTGTATGTGATTGCAATGACTCTATACATCAATTTTAAACCTCCCTTTATGTTCCAAAATCATGTAACCAACAATGCAGTGTATAATTCCACCTCTATTTTGATAGATTTTTTGAGCGCAAATGAAGAACATCTGCCTCACTATGACCCTCTGCCTGTTACTGACTTTTGTTTTTCTAATCTCAATGTATAGCTGAGTTAGAAAAACCCAGTAGTCTTCCCTCCTGTGTGTCTCCTTTACTATTCACACAGAATACTTACTTCTGACACTTCTGGTCACTAAATATGTGAGATCTTTTCCCCACTAAGCAGTTGTCTGAAATATCAGCTGAGTGTCTTACAATTTAATTCACCTGACACTGTCTACCTGGAAATAACATCACATCCCAAGATAAAGACTCATTCCCAAAAGTCTGCTCCCAGCCCACTTCAGATGCCAGTTGCAGGTCCCAGTAATCACCTGTGCTTCCGACCTGTTGGCTGTAAATCTGAGTTTCCCCTAGTCCCCTCCGTGGGTTCGATTAATTTGTTAGAGCGGCTCATAACTCAAGGAAACACTTATATTTACCAGTTTATGAAAGGGTGTGATAAAGGATACAGTTGAACAGCCACATGAAGAGATACATAGGGTGAGGTCTGGGACGATCCTGAGCACAGGAGCATCCGTCCCCATGGAGTTAGGGTGGATCACTCTCCCGATACATGGATGTACAGCCAGATGAAGAGATACATAGGGTGAGGTCTGGGATGGTCCTGAGCACAGGAGCATCCGTCCCCATGGAGTTGGGGTGCATCACTCTCCCGATACATGGATGTATTCATTGACCTAGAAGCTATCCAGATGCCTACTTTTGGGGTTTTTATGGATGAATAATTATGTAGGCATTGTGTGGTGGGGGGTAGGGTGGGGTGTTGAAAATTCCAAGCTTCTATTTATGACTTGGTCTTTCTGGTGATCGGCATTCATCCATGTGCACACCCAGAGTCACCTCATTAGAACAAAGGATGCTTCTAGTGCTCTTATCACTTATTACGAGGGTTTTAGGAGCTCTGTGCCAGGAACCAGGCACAGAGACCAATATATACAGATGGTCCTTTACTTATGGTAACATGTAAACATAGTAAGTCAGAAATGCATTTAATACACCTAACCTGCCAAACATCATAGCTTAGCCTAGTCTACCTTAAACATGCTCAGAACACTTACATTGACCTTCAGTTGGGCAAAATCATCTAACACAAAGCCTATTTTATAATAAATGTTGAATACCTATGTAATTTATTATGTGTATCACTTTCACACCATCATAATGTTAAAAAGTTAAGTCAAGAACTGTCTGTATACATATTTTCTCTTATCTCACAATGGCATCAGCAATTACCCTGTTGCTCATGCAGCTTCTCTATGTACAGCTGTACGAAATTATAATGATCAAAATTTTGTTCTTTTTTCTATAGAAATCACTTTCCCATTTTTTACTTTAATATAGTTCATCTCTCTTTTTAAAAAAAATTCAATAAAAAAAATCAAAAACAAAAACAGTTCACCCATTTTTCTATCCCTCATCCCTTGCCTCTGGCAGCCACCAATCTGCAGTTGGTATTTATGTGCTTAGGATTTTTTTTTAAGATTCCGCATATTAGAGAGATTATATGGTATTTCTTTCTCTGTCAGACTCATTTTATTTAGCATAATGCCCTCGAGGTCCTTAAATGGGTCTCTTCTGTTTTGCTGTGTAAGACTTTCTCTATTCTTCCTGCAGAGCATTGCTTCAGAAAAACAAGTCCGATGATGCATACTACTTCCAGGGCTTGCGTGAATCTGTTGTTGGTTTCCCATACTCAAGCAGAGAACTCCAAGTGGATATGTGTACCCTAGAGAGTGCTCAGGACAGTCCACTGGGGTACAGGAAAAGATTACGGAGAGCCTGGTTATAAAACTATCTAAAAAACAAGGCACTAAACTTTAGCATTAGTATATTAACTGACAGTCTATGGTATATAACTTAGAAATAAATACAAATACATTAGGGCATGAAAATAATATTTGTGCCAATTATGTTAGTACTCTCAAAGTGTAAGACAACGATAGGGACATAATAGGTATCCTTTATAAAATTTTGTTTTAAATTCTCAACAGTAGACCTGATACAAATTAACTTTCAATGGTATTTGCTATGTCACCTGTTTCTGAATCCAGATTGAATAAAAAAATATGCTGTTACAGGCATCAGTGTCATTTAAGGATGTGACTGTAGAGTTCACCCCAGATGAGTGGCAATACCTAGGCGCTTCTCAGAGCACCCTGTACAGAAATGTGATGCTGGAGAACTACAGCCACCTTGTCTCACCGGGTGAGCAGGCCTTACCACATGACTCCCTTTAGAATGCAATTCTTTTTTTTCTCTCCGTTTTAATTTCTAAATTACTTTTATTGGGGTATAATTAACAAAGTAAAAGTAATTTTCAGTATATAGTTTGATGAATTTTGGAAATGTCTGTAGGTTATTACCACCACCAAAATAATGATATAAAATAACTGTCACCCCAAAAAGTTACCTTGTAGCTCTTTGCAGTCATTCTTCTCCCCCTATCCATTTCCCTGGCACCCGTCAACCATTCATATACTTTCTATTGCAATAGTTTTGCCTTTCTAGAAATTTATATACATCATACAGTATTTACTCTTTTTTCTACTTTCATTTAGCTTTTTTTTTAAAAAAATATTAAATTTATTGGGGTGACATTGGTTAATAAAATTACATGGGTTTCAAGTGTACAATCTATAATACATCATCTGTATATTGCATTGTGTGTTCACTACCCAAAGTCAAATCTTCTGTCACTATATATTTGAAGCCCTTTACCCTT